GGCTAATTTTTTCTATTTATATATTTTTAGTTGTCCAGATCATTTCTTTATATTTTTTTTTAGTAGAGACGGGGTCTTGCTCTTGCTCACGCTGGTCTTGAACTCCTGACCTTGAGCGATCCACCTGCCTCAGCCTCCCAGAATGACAGGATTATAGGCGTGAGCCACTGCGCCCGGCCTATAGGTGATATTTTAAATGAGACTAATGAGATCATCTGAGTGAATATAGATAGAGAAAAGGTTGGGCATGCTAACATTGGAAAATAGAGGAAACTGAGAAGGAGCAGCCAGTTAGGGAGAAAGAGCACTTTGTCAAATGAAAGCTATTACGGTGGTTCTGAACACTGTTCTTACCTCATCACTCTGTTCACTGTATACTATAGATGCTCCATAGGCTTGTATCGCCAGTTTTTTACAGTTGGGAGCTGTTTGGGGCACCACAATAAAAGCAGGAATCCCTAGGAGGGGAAAACATGTTTAGTTAGTACAAGTCAGGAGAATTTAGGATAGGAACTTAGGTTCATTTTGCTTATAATCAGATAGGGACTTCTTTGGAAATTTACTTTCTACAACCATCACCACTGAAATTAAGGACACTTTGCACTCCTTTCTGATGATCTAACCAGTACCCTGAGAAATTAATCAAGTACCTTCCAATTTGGCAGCGTATGTGAGAGCCTGTCCATGGTTTCCACTGCTGTGAGTAACAACAGCTTTCGGCTTCCCTTCTAAAGTGGCAGGAACCAAGCCTCTGATGGCATTAAGAGCACCACGAATCTGGAAAAGAGGGACGGTAAATTCATGTATTTGATTAAAACGTTTCGTTTTGTAAAGCAGGGAGCTTTTCTAGATTTTCTCTAACACTGCACATCCAGTCTGTTAGTAAATCTTATCAATTCTACCTCCTAAATATCTCATGGGCATCTTCTTTGTCACTACCTTGTGAGGCCTCGTTTCTTCTATTATCAAACCTCAGCTGATCCCTGCCCAAGAATCAATCTCATAAAATGTTTCCGCTACAATATGAAAGTGATCTTTTAAAAATGCAAACCCAGCTTTGCGCAGTGGCAGTATCATAGCCAATGAGGTTTATCTGAGGCGCGATTATTGCTAATTGAAAACTTTTCCCAATACCCCGCCATGACAACTTGCAATATAGTCGGCACTGGCAATTTTTGACGGTCCCTACGGGGACTGAATAAAAAAAAATAATTAAAAAAATA